TCAAGGCTGCACAGGTGTAAATCAAGGCTGCACAGGTGTAAATCAAGGCTGCACAGGTGTAAATCAAGGCTGTACAGGTGTAAATCAAGGCTGTGCAGGTGTAAATCAAGGATGTCCAGGTGTAAATCAAGGCTGTCCAGGTGTAAATCAAGGCTGTCCAGGTGTAAATCAAGGCTGTACAGGTGTAAATCAAGGCTGTACAGGTGTAAATCAAGGCTGTGCAGGTGTAAATCAAGGATGTCCAGGTGTAAATCAAGGCTGTCCAGGTGTAAATCAGGGCTTTCCAGGTGTAAATCAAGGCTGTACAGGTGTAAATCAAGGCTGTACAGGTGTAAATCAAGGCTGTTCAGGTGTAAATCAAGGCTGTACAGGTGTAAATCAAGGCTGTACAGGTGTAAATCAAGGCTGCACAAGTGTAAATCAAGGCTGTCCAGGTGTAAATCAAGGATGTCCAGGTGTAAATCAAGGCTGTACAGGTGTAAATCAAGGCTGTACAGGTGTAAATCAAGGCTGTACAGGTGTAAATCAAGGCTGTACAGGTGTAAATCAAGGCTGTACAGGTGTAAATCAAGGCTGTACAGGTGTGAATCAAGGCTGTACAGGTGTAAATCAAGGCTGTACAGGTGTAAATCAAGGCTGTACAGGTGTAAATCAAGGCTGTCCAGGTGTAAATCAAGGCTGTACAGGTGTAAATCAAGGCTGTTCAGGTGTAAATCAAGGCTGTACAGGTGTAAATCAAGGCTGTACAGGTGTAAATCAAGGCTGCACAGGTGTAAATCAAGGCTGTCCAGGTGTAAATTAGAGTTTCACACCTGGATACTTGAAGACATTCGCACGTTCTACCTCAGCACACAGATCAATTTGACTTTTACAATACTTGATACATATATCAAGACTCACCAGCGAAGTTGACTCTTCGATGAACACTAATTTATATATATATATATATATATATATATATATATATATATATATATATATATATATATATATATATATATATATATATATAGGGGTAACACCTCTTTTATGACCCATAGCCACAGAGAAGCATTCAGAGAAATTCGTCGTTTGACTTTAGAGACAAAGAAATCACCTTAAGGGGACATGTTCAGTAGAAGGCAGAATAGAACAAGGTGAACATGTTCAGTATAAGGCAGGATAGAACAAGGGGAACATGTTCAGTATAAGGCAGAATAGAACAAGGGGGAACATGTTCAGTATAAGACAAGGTACAACAAGGAATTTAGAAATAAACCTACAGGCTTGAAGGAAGGTAACAGATGGAATGCCCAAGAAGGAAAGATAGGAGATGCAGATAATAAAGCCAATACCAAAGATAACACAACAGGAGCCAGGAGGGTCGGGAGCTACCTCGTCCAAAACATCCACAGGTGACAAGGCGGGGCTGAAGAGCTTGCGCTCGACTGTATATAGATTGGCCAAGTCCATATCGACATTTAAGCATTGCACAGTAGCGCACATCTTGACCCCAGCGCATGTTGATGGGGTCAGAGTATCTCCCAATTGAAAGGTCAGTGGATATTGACCTCAGCTTCTCACGACGAGGTCAAGAAGATGCTTCTGGTCCTAAGTTGTCATCTCATTTATGAAGCCTCTGATGCTATATTGTTATCTCATTTATGAAGCCTCTGATGCTATATTGTTATCTCATTTATGAAGCCTCTGATGCTATATTGTTATCTCATTTATGAAGCCTCTGATGCTATATTGTTATCTCATTTATGAAGCCTCTGATGCTTTATTGTTATCTCATTTATGAAGCCTCTGATGCTATATTGTTATCTTATTTATGAAACTTCTGATGCTATATTGTTATCTCATTTATGAAACTTCTGATGCTATATTGTTATCTCATTTATGAGACCCCTGATGCTATCTTATTTTCTCAGGTATGAAGCCTCTGATGCTATCATGTCATCTCATGAATGAAGCCTCTGATGCTATCTTATCTTCTCAGGTATGAAGCCTCTGATGCTATATTGTTATCTCATCTATAAAGCCTCTGATGCTATCTTGTCATCTCATCTATAAAGCCTATGATGCTATCATGTCATCTCATCTATAAAGCCTCTGATGCTATACTGTCGACTCACATATGAATCATTCACAAAGTGACAAATCAAGATTTATAAATGTCTTTAAACGACAAAAAAAAAACGCTTTCTTCCCATTCTCTTCCAAAAAAAAAGCTAACCGGGTGAAATTATACAAATGGAGTGGATAGCAGAGTGGGCGTCACGTCCAAGCCATCACACGGGGCAGGTTTTCCTTCGCCCTCTAATCTCTGTCTGCTCCGGGTGCACACAATTTCCAGCAAAATATATATATATATATTTGTCTCCGCGGTTCTTCTTTTAAAATGTTTCGTGGGAGTGACATTCGGTGGGAGAAACGGGGGGAGGTGGGGGGGGGGGAAGTAATTACCTAAGTGTAATTACCTAAGTGTAGTTACAGGATGAGAGCTACGCTCGTGGTGTCCCGTCTTCCCAGCACTCTTTGTCATATAACCATCTATAACCATATAACCATATTTTAATCTTTGTCATAATATATATATGTCATAAGTGGGAGGGTGTGTGTGCAGGATTCTTAATTATAGTTTCGTTTGGTGATTCTCACCGCTACAATTTACGGGCTCACCATAGCCCGTGCTACTTGGAACTTTGTTCCAGGTAGCGAATCTTTAACAACAACAACAACAACAACGCTACAAGATGTAGGGGGGGGGGATAAATGAAGTTATTTGTGCTAAAATATTGATTTTTGTATATTTTAGTTCTATTTTTGTTTTAAAATGTGTTCTCAGGCACATTTAGTCACCAGTGTTTAATAATAAAGTTTTGATGTTTAAAAATTGCTTTTTCTGTAGTTTTTATATTGAGAACTTTCTATAATGTTGATGTTGAGAACTTTCTGCAGTTTTTATATTGAGAACTTTCTATAATGTTGATGTTGAGAACTTTCTGCAGTTTTTATATTGAGAACTTTCTATAATGTTGATGTTGAGAACTTTCTGTAGTTTTTATATTAAGAACTTTCTATAATGTTGATGTTGAGAACTTTCTGCAGTTTTTATATTGAGAACTTTCTATGATGTTGATGTTGAGAACTTTCTGTAGTTTTTATATTGAGAACTTTCTATAATGTTGATATTGAGAACTTTCTGTAGTTTTTATATTGAGAACTTTCTATAATGTTGATATTGAGAACTTTCTGTAGTTTTTATATTGAGAACTTTATATAATGTTGATATTGAGAACTTTCTGTAGTTTTTATATTGAGAACTTTCTATAATGTTTATTCTGATAACTTTCCAACAGGTGGGAGTGAAGCAATCACAAGGAACCAGCCGCACACATCTCCTTGAGGAAAAGTTTCTTTGTGTCTCTGTCATAGGAGGAGGTAGGAGGAATGAGGTGGATGACACTCATGCTGTCATGGTTACCTCTCCCTGTGGTAGGTCCATGCAAGATGGGTCTCCTCCCCCTTCCCTATCACCATGCCAGAAGTCTGTGTGTATCTCCTCAATACGCCCCGATCTCAATACGCCTCTCATGCTATCAGAGGCGTATTGAGGTGACCAATCAGCGAAGCTGGAGTCACCATTCTGACTCCTTAACGTCTTGTATAAGCTTCACGTGACTTCTTGAGTGGTTCTACGACACCTTCCGTGACCACTGTCATTAGACCTCCCTACTCACTGCCCCACGTCCTTCACTTTTCGTATTATTGAGCCTTTTATGGTTATTGAGCCTCTTACTGATACCTTTCTCGAGTCGTCGCGGATTTTCAAGTTGATGTTGCCATCAGTAGTTATATTCTACTTAAGAAGCATTACTGGACACTCCAGAAGGTTTTAAATAGTTTCAGAACGATTTTTAAGCTTATGTACCCCCTCTACGGCTGTCAGTGATTGAAGTACATTGGTATCCAGTAGGTAGCTGTTATTGGTTGTATAAGTGTAAGACTTGACGTTACAACTGTCGGTCTGTTAGGACCTGCAAGGAGGCTTTGTGGGTGAAACAGGTCCCATTAAAAGTTACCATAGTAACATTGGGGTCAAAGTTTCTTTGAATTGAAGGTTTCTTTGGAGTGAAAGTTTCTATGGAGTAAAGTTTTATTTGTAGTGAAGGCTTCTTTGGAGTTACTGAAAGCCTGGGAAGCTTAATCAACACTAAGCTTCAAAGATAAACACAGGCAGCAGCAGCAAGAGGAGCCGGGATTACTGCACATGACAACAGCAGCAGCAGCAGCAGCAGCAGCAGCAAGAGGAGCCGGGATTACTGCACATGACAGCCGCCACCTATAGAGAGGCGGGGCCCAAGACACTCCCACTCACATCCAAGTGACCCCAAACGGCTAGACATGTCACCGAACTCCTTGACACAAGAACAAATCCACAAGGGCAGTGACGAGGATTCGAACCTACGTCCGAGATCATCTTGTCCATCTACGTCCATCTTGTCCATCTTCTACGTCCTTGACACAAGCTTCCCTAAACAGCACACACATTTGAGGTATTCCCACACAATGGCAAACCTAAGAATGATTCAAAATACTCTACACAACGTACGTGATACCATTACTGGAGTGTGCAGCGCAAGCTTGGTACCCACACCTTTGCAAATACACAGGAAATACCAAGAAGGATCGACGATGTCCGATCAGATTAACCACTGAGGTAAAAGATCTGGATTAAAAAGACACATTTGAAAGACCTCACTCTTTCAATGCTAGAGAAGACACGGTGGGGACATGATCACAACATATATGGTATTTTCAGTAATAAATAACTGATCATTAAGAGCACAAGAGCCCGGGTTGAGCCCGGGAGCGCCTCACTGCGACGCCTGCAAGATCTCTCAAGACTATCTACACGACGCAACTTTAGGTAATTAGTAAGAGGCGTGAGGCAAACACGTGTGGATAACATACGGCCATCCTGCAGTGTGAGGGAGCCAGTGTTCTTCTGCCTTCTAATTTACAACAGCAGCTGCTGCAGCTGTTGCAGCTTCTGCAGCTGTTGCAGCTTCTGCAGCTCTAGATGCAGATGTTGCAGCTTCTGCAGCTTCTGCAGCTGTAGATGCAGCTTCTGCAGCTGTAGATGCAGCTTCTGCAGCTGTAGATGCAGCTGTTGCAGCTGTAGATGCAGCTTCTGCAGCTGTAGATGCAGCTGTTGCAGCTTCTGCAGCTGTAGATGCAGCTTCTGCAGCTGTTGCAGCTTCTGCAGCTGTAGATGCAGCTTCTGCAGCTGTAGATGCAGCTTCTGCAGCTGTAGATGCAGCTGTTGCAGCTTCTGCAGCTGTAGATGCAGCTGTTGCAGCTTCTGCTGGTAGAGCCATTAACAAACTTCTTGACTATGGTAATAAACGCTGTTGTACTTATTTCCCGCAGCATTAAGGGTCTCCTAACATTGTCAATTCCAAGAGAGAGTTATTATGACGTTCTTCCTGTTGTTGAGAGATATAGTAAAGATGTTATCGTGACCATTACTGGGTCACTATTCACTATTTCCTCACTATTCTTCACCAACACCTTAATGGGAAAGGTCGAGTTACTTGTTATCTAAGGTCAGACAGTCCATTATATTAGAGCAAGCTTGGCCTATAAAAGAGAAGGAATATATAGATAAGCAAATATACTTAGATGGGATATCAAAGAATATTTCGCTCCAAAAAATACAAAAAAATAGGAGGGGATAGAGAAAGTGAAATGTAGGAAAAATTGCAAATGGCTCCGAGTCTGGAGAGGGAAGTGACAGATGCAAGACTACACAACTCTTAACATGGAAGATCTTGCAAGAGAGCAACACTAGCAGCCTAGAGGGGGCCCCAGGAGCCGGATGGTCGCCCTGAGTTATATGCCAGTATGTCCACATTAATTTATTACATGTGTGTGCCTTTATTGCGAAGTTCTTAGGTTAGGATTTTGTGTAATATCAAATAAATCAAATAAATGTGAAATAAATGTGAAATAAATGTGAAATAAAAAATCGTTAATGACTTGAAAAAATATCAAATATTCTTCATATTAATTAATTCTCATTTTATTATCCAGGTTACTTAGAATACTTGTAGACTCCCTTAATTACTTTACTGGATTATAAGTATAGGCTTTCCCCTCTATGCCCCTCCGAGAGGGGAGCCGGTGGCTGAGCGGACAGAACACTGGACGCGTGATCCTGTGGTCCCGGTTTCTATCCCGGGCGCCGGCGAGAAACAATGGGCAGAGTTTCTTTCCCCCTGATGCCCCTGTTACCTAGCAGTAAATAGGTACCTGGAAGTTAGTCAGCTGTCACGGGCTGCTTCCTGGGGGTGGAGGCCTGGTCGAGGACCGGGCCGCGGGGACACTAAGCCCCGAAATCATCTCAAGATAACCGAGGTATGAGGAGATGAACGCCCTTGGTATACTACATATACCGGCGGCCATATAGGGAGTGAGGTATCATATAGGGAGCGAGGTATCATATAGGGAGTGAGGTATCATATAGGGAGCGAGGTACCGTATAGGGAGTGAGGTATCATATAGGGAGTGAGGTACCGTATAGGGAGTGAGGTATCATATAGGGAGTGAGGTACCGTATAGGGAGTGAGGTATCATATAGGGAGTGAGGTACCGTATAGGGAGTGAGGTATCATATAGGGAGCGAGGTATCATATAGGGAGCGAGGTATCATATAGGGAGCGAGGTATCATATAGGGAGTGAGGTATCATATAGGGAGTGAGGTATCATATAGGGAGTGAGGTATCATATAGGGAGTGAGGTATCATATAGGGAGTGAGGTACCGTATAGGGAGTGAGGTATCATATAGGGAGCGAGGTATCATATAGGGAGCGAGGTATCATATAGGGAGTGAGGTATCATATAGGGAGTGAGGTATCATATAGGGAGTGAGGTATCATATAGGGAGTGAGGTATCATATAGGGAGTGAGGTATCATATAGGGAGTGAGGTATCATATAGGGAGTGAGGTATCATATAGGGAGTGAGGTATCATATAGGGAGTGAGGTATCATATAGGGAGTGCAATTAACAACTGCCAAATTTACAAGTAAATTTATATAAATTATCATTGAATCATGATTAGTTGGGATTTATACCAAAAAGGGCAAAGCATAACAATTTGGAGATAAGTGTAACACAGTACTGGAAGCTATAGCTGGAAGCTGACTGGAATGGGTCAATAGGAGCTGACTGGAATGGGTCAATAGGAGCTGACTGGAATGGGTCAATAGGAGCTGACTGGAATGGGTCAATAGGAGCTGACTGGAATGGGTCAATAGGAGCTGACTGGAATGGACCAATAGGAGCTGACTGGAATGAGCCAATAGGAGCTGATTCGAATGAGCCAATAGGAACTGACTGGAATGAATCATTAGCAGCTGACTGGAATGGACCAATAGGAGCTGACTCGAATGAACCAATAGGAGCTGACTGGAACGGACCAATAGGAGCAGCTTGACAAGAACTATTAAAGCCTAGGCGTTTTATTTTGTCCCGTATTCTTATATTGCTCAGCGTTGCATGAGGCTTGCATGCATCTATTATTCAGATCGTTCCGTCTCTTCTAATTTGGTCCTCTTTATATAGATATAAAACTCCCCATAACGAGAGCTTGCAACAAGCAAGATAACCCCATTCAGGCCTCGGGGTCAACCCGCTGATATAGTCTATTTAACGTCGATTCCTCTAAGAAATGAAAAAAATACAAAGATATTCTTGAAAAAAAAAGAGATGTATCGTGCATCAAATGAAATTTTTGATTATCTAATAATACTGGCCTGGAAATGCACGTGAATAAAGAGATGAGACAAAAGATAAGGAAATCTCTCAGGGGAAGAGTTCCAGACATTATTGTGTGTCATGTGTGGATACATGTGTCATGAGAGTGGACACATGTGTCATGAGAGTGGAGACACGTGACATCACCGCATGCGGCTCCCTGATGGTGACGAGGTTCCACTACAGTGCCACAGAGAGGTCACCAGGCTCCTCTACAGTGTCTCAGAGAGGTCACCAGGCTCCTCTACAGTGTCTCAGAGGTCACCAGGCTCCACTACAGTGTCTCAGAGGTCACCAGGCTCCACTACAGTGTCTCAGAAAGGTCACCAGGCTCCTCTACAGTGTCTCAGAGAGGTTACCAGGCTCCACTACAGTGTCTCAGAGAGGTTACCAGGCCCCACTATAGTGTCTCCCAACCCTACACACCCCCCCAACCCTCCATTATCCACACCCTAACCCTCCACACCCACTATCCCCCTACCCTACACCATCCCATCAGCCAAGGGCGTCTTTTCCAGCTCGGTAAGTTACTCTTTTTGTGGAATTCCAACACTTTACTTCCATTCTCCTGGTGATATCTTTTTGCTCTCTCTTCTCATCTTTTCTCTCATTTCTCTTCATTCGGTGCTTATTTACCCTTGCTTATGTTTACTCTCTCTCTGTCCATCTGATTCTTGCTCTCTCATTTGTTTAATTAAACAAGGGTCTTTAGGATTGGGAATCATGTCCTGATTAGACTGTAATTACAGAACTGATATCCCACTTCGGCTCATTTATTTGTTTTCATTGGGAATAAACTTGATTTGATGCTAAAGTACAATTATGTTTGTCTTAATGATGCTGGAGCCTATACTGTGTGTGTGCCAGAGCCTTCATATGTTCACTCGTGTAAAGTGAACATGTTCATAATACGAGTCAGTAAAGGAATGATCACTCGTCTAATTATGTTCCTGAGAATGGTATATATACACACACACACACACACACACACACACACACACACACACACACACACACACACACACACACACACACACACACACACACACACACACACACACACACACCTGTACTTGCGTTTGTTTTATCTCACCTTGACAACTAGCTTTTCCCCCCTTCTCTCTCCTACCTTTATCATGGAGTTCTTCTGTCTCTCGTCTTCCAATATTTAGGTCTATCTTTCTCCACCTCTTCCCAGCTTGCCTTAGCCTCTCATTCCTCCCTTCATCACTTGCCTCAGCCTTCTCCTCCCCTCCCTCAGGAGTGGGGGATGGTGAGTGGTAGGCAAGAGAGTCAGGTCTTCTAGGATACCGCTGGTTCATTACTGGCTCTCAAGGAGGAATCTACCATGGAAGGCTCAGTCAAGAGCCACCCACAGTGCGCTCTGCTCTTCTCTTCTTCTTAGGGCCTATTCTGCTGTTGTCACTGGTGCTGAGTATGCTGCTGCTGCTGAGTTTGCTGCTTCTGGTGCTGCTCCTTCTGCTGCTGCTTCTGCTGCTGCTGCTGCTGTTGCTGTTGCTGCTGCTGCTGCTTCTGCAGCTGTTGCTGCTGCTTCTGCAGCTGCTGCTGCTGCTGCTTCTGCAGCTGCTGCTGCTGCTGCTTCTGCAGCTGCTGCTGCTGCTGCTTCTGCAGCTGCTGCTGCTGCTAGAGGTGGTGCTGGCTTTTTCTGTTCCTGCTATTGTTACTGCTACTGGTACTACTGCTTCTATTGCTGCTGGTAAAGTCGCTGCTGCTGCTACTTCTGCTACTGCTATGGCTGCTACTGTTACCATTGATGGTGCTACTGCTTCAGGCTGTGTCTAATGTTACTGATGTAACAATGTTTATAGAAAAATTGAATTACGTGGAAAATTGGTATATTTTTTCTAGATTTTTTCTATGAAAATTGAAGTGAAGTAAAGATCACTCACAGTTCCCATATGTTCACTGGCTGAAGTGAACATATGGGCTCACTTCAATAACAATGAATGGGTACACGTGTTTAGTGAACTTGTGCCATGATGTGAAGTCAATGACATCAATTTGTATTGCTTGTAAACTGTGGTTGTTGTATTGTAGTTGTGGTGGTCGCTTAGACTTAGAGAGTGAACATTTTGGGGTTTGTTGAAGAGTTGAGAGGAACTAGATCTCAGGACAGGTAAGTACTTATATAATTAGTCAATTAGTCTGCTACATAAGATCTGTATCAACAGGCAACTAAATCCCTTTAACATCTCTTCTAATTATTATTAATTGCCCAGTGAATATTTAATTAATCCCTGCTCTAATTAACGAATAATTGTCGGTCAATTTACACTGGTTATCACTTGAGATTCAATACCACAATAGCCAGCCTCCAGGTAGGCAGTCCCGGCTACTGTCGTTGGGTTTCCTGTTCAGTAATGACAGGTAATTATCAAGGGATATTAGAGTATTAAAATTAAAGTAATTAGAGGCTAATTAAGCAGATGTGATGGCAGCTTTTGGTTCGCTATCATGGTAAGTGGTAATGACAGTAGTACTTGAACGTCTGTATCGTCATGTTGATGTTAGTGTTGCAGTTTACTGGTGATGTTGAT